TTTATCTCAGAAAAATGGCTTAAGAAGTTTTTAATATATACAATTTTGTAGAGCTAGTCGAACTCTATCGAATCATGTAAAAAATATTTTAATCTGTTTTTGAATTATTGATGCCTCAATTTTTCTATGCCAAAAAAGCATAAAATTTCTGAAAATTTCTTAAGTTCGACATTAAAAGGTTTTGATAACTCTTACTATTTAGTATCAATAAACCTCATTTTTGACAGGCTTTCATTTGGTATAAAATTCATTATTAACTCTATTTCAGAATATAACGGTACCCCTCTGTCAAAATATTTTTTCCAACCCTGTATAATTTTTTTAATTCTATTAAACAATATATCGAAAGTGACTGAATGATTCAAGCTTAAAAATACATGCCATAGAAACATAATACTGTATTAATTTTCAAAAGGCAATAGGTGTAGCTGTTTTTCGAATAACTATCAATCGGAACTACATAAAGATCTGCGATTTTCACCGTTTAAAAGAGAATATGAATGTGCATCGAATTTTGAATTCCAAAGTTTTTCGATAAATTTTCTCAGGGTCTTCCACAAAGTATTTCGGGAGATGGATATCGGTGTGTGGTGTAAATGTAAATGAAGAGCATATCTAAATTCACACTCACATCCACTCTATATCCTTTTCAGAAAAATTCAAAATTCAATTATGTTAAAATATTTATATGATGGTGAAACTATTCAAACGACACAATATTGGGTAACTGATGAAATAAGTCTCTAGAATACTGCAATCTGATGTAAACAACACTTGAACTTCATATTGATAAGAAAAGTCATTTATTTTAGTATCACAATAAATTTTGCACCTGATTCGATTTTTAACATTTCCCATGCTGCAGTGTTATTTGTTTATAAGATCGATATAAATTATATCAGTGCTGTTTCTTTCAGAAAGGAACATATCAGACAGATATTTTAAGAATAGAATTAAATAAAGAAGTGGCAATAATCGATGATCTTAGCGCACGATAGACGAGATGCTATCACGATTGGCTCTTTTTTGAGTTTTATTGAATGTATTCAAATACTTTCATCTGTCGTTGGTGATGTGTAAACTATTTTGACTATACTAGAATGGATTCATTGACGGACACATAGATAGAAAAGAATAATAAAACGTTTATGCGGATTCGATTCGGCCTACTTTTTCAAAAATCTTTGATCAAATGTGTGTGCATATGGCGAGCTCCTCTCTCCAACCGTACCAATTTCTGCACATCCATATTCTATCCGAACCAACAACATCAAATAATTTACTCTTTGACTTTGTCATTACCTCTGACAGTTATTTATCGTCTCAATAAGGATATATTTGAGTAAAGTTTCTTTTAAATAACTGCGTAGTGATTATATTAAATTTTATGAATAGTTAGTGTTTGCTAGGGAAGACTGCTTCTTGATTATAATAAGAGGAATTTTGAAAAAGCAACAAAAGATGAATTCTTAGTAGATACTTCGAAATATTTTATAAGTAGCGTTTCTGTGCATTAATCTTCACAAGAAATTCTATGGTAACATGATAAATGGTAAATTCGAGTATATTTCAATCTTACGAAGAATGATACGTCTTCTATATAACATGTCTTTTGCGTTTAGAAAATAAGGATCATTAATATTCTGTTATCTAATAGATCCTACTGAACGAAAAGAAACGAAAAATTCTTTTCACAGTCCCTCTTTCCTCAGCGTATTGACGTCAATTATTTAATGTTAAAGAAGAAAACAAATCAGAGATAAACCAGTCCTAAATATTTTTTCAAGACGAAAAGGGAGCATTTTATTGCTTTTCGACAACACTAAGATGTAGCATGCTGGAAAAAATGTTATGCAATTTTACAAAATGCTGCTAATATTTATCAGTAAAAATATATTAGATATGGTATGAATCAGGGAATCTGAAGTTAGCCATTTAAACTTGACCTTAGTGGTCTTCTGTCATCATTCCATACGATCTTGGCAAGTAACAAAAAAGAGTAACAGAGTTTTCATAGAAAAAAAACAGAGATAAAAATCTGACTATAATCAAGTTTGTTAAAATCATCACAAAAAGTTGACTAGATGAGATTAAATTATCGATTATGATAAATTATAATCGAATTTCATCGACCAAAAACCATTAAAGCTGGTTTTTTAATCTTAAAGTCGAGATCATTGGTAAAAGATTTTTTTCAAATCGATGAAATCACGAGGGTGTCCATTTGTGGACGTGAATGTTGATGAATGCTGACGTGAGTGCTTTTTTAGTATTGGTGAACACCCAAACTCACATTCTACATTCCACACCAAGCTCATTCTCACGCACATCTTATTACTAAGCGCGAAACTAGAACAGAAGATTTCGGAGGTGTGGATGGGGCGTATTCGAGTGAACAGAATGGTTGCATTTGCACCCACATCCCTTCAAGATGGCTTAATACTGTTCGATAACACCCAAGAACTTTAAACGTTTTCCACATTGGGAGTTTGGCGTTGGTGTAGGGCAACAAAGACTGACAACCGCACATCTATATTCAGCCATTGAGACAAACACCCTTTGGTACACAAAATTAATTTTGAGTTTTTTGTTTTTTTTTGTGTCCAACGTACATAGTGTATAAGATAGCAAACTACTTATAGATAGAACATTATGAACAGAGTATAGATATGATGAAATGCCACCTGAGTTGTGCTGTTGTTTTGCGTTGCCTTTGATGAATATTGCCTTTTTCTTCCTTGCTTCGACAAGAGCAAACATAATTATTTTCAAGTGATTCTATTGTTGCCATGCTCAGACTGTAAATAAAAATCATTCGATGCATGTCTTTATTTTGGTTTCTCGGATTTACATTAGTTCCCATAGCACTGAATTTTTCTCTCTGGCAGACCCGGGTTCTATTATTATCAAGAGTCAGTACATTAGGTTGCTTTTTTAAAGATTTTCGATCTATCAATTTATTTTAGCCTGTGGAACGTATTCGCTCGCACAAGAATGACTAGCACTGTGTGGCGAATACGACATTCTTTTTAAAACAAACTATGCACGAAAACATGAGATTCTATGTAAACAAACACAAGACAATATTCGTGATTCATACAAACCCTGTTGTTATGATGATCGAGTGAGTATACCTGTGTGAATAAGGAAAATGATAAGAGCCTATTCAAAGTAATTAAAACTAATCCTCCAACAGCGAATTTATTCCATCTGAATTTGTTATAGTCGTTTCTTTCTCTTTCGATATTAATACAGTTTCTATCCTCGAACAATTACTATTCGAACTATCTGGTGTCAATGTCAAGGCTTGAACAGCTCTATTCATCCATTAGTTTCATTTTCATCAATATTAATTTCAGTTTATTGGATAATTCATTTGATTTACGGGGAAACTCGCTAGAACTCCATCAACATATTTAGAGTTTCCCCTCTTGGAGACATACTTAGAGCATACCAAAAGTAGTGAGAGTGACACTTTAATACCGTATAGTGAACTTAAAGGAACTTTCTTTCTATATAGCCTGATAGAGAATAAACTCTAGCTTTCTATGCTATTTGACCATACTTCAACTAATATCATAATAGCAAAGTTTCGATAAGATCTGTTTCGTTCGCATATGTTACGGTTCTATGAATGCTAGTGAGTATTTTTTGAATAACTGTTGATAGAAATTAGATAGAGAAGTGCGGTTTCCACCATTGGAAAGGGGAGATGAAGATGCATCGAATCATATATTGCAGATTTTTCTAATATTGATTCCACTATAATCACTAGTTTATTTCAATGAATGAACAGACTCTTGCTGAGATACGGTGTTTTGCAAGACTAAACTGAAACCAAAGTTTGAAGATTTATTCGAAAATCTTGTTTGTATTAAATATGATACAATCTTTAATCATAGACTTTGACTTTGTACGTACATTTAAATTATGTGTACAACTTAGTTTCTCATTTCAAATATCTAAATATTGACAAATACTAATTTCTAACTTCATAACAAAAGTACACGTTATAATCAAACATTTCATGGATTAATTATCTTACGTTAGGTTCAAGTTCAATTGAATATATTATGATTAAGTTTATGCGATCTTCTTCCCTGCTCTCACAATAAGTCTCTTTTCGTTACCCTCTGCTTGAAAAATGTGCCTTTTTTCAGAAAAAAGTTTCACCATAGGACGTAGTGCTTTCTTTTCTTTCAAAGAGCATCGTAAGTTAAAATCCTTAGTAGAGTCGTTTTTCTCTGTATAAACTCTTTACCAAAACTCTTATATAAATATTAATAATTAATATGTTCAATATTATTAAGTACTATTTTTCAACAAGTAAAACATTTACATGAATTATTTTTAGCTAATATTCAACAATACTCATTTATACTTTTATGAGCAGTATATCAATCAATCAAACATATTCTATCCATATGTGTTAGATTTTATGTAACAGCAAA